CACCTCATTAAATCTTTGTAGTAACTCTAACAGGGGAAGATGAGTTTTATTCCCTTCTTCAGAAGGAAACTGGAGTTTGGAAAAATTGAGAGGTGGTTATGGAACCCGTGAGTGGCTCCGCCAGAACTCACACAAGTCTTTCTTATTCCAAAGCTCATGTTTCATCACCCTGAGTCTTCTAACCAATGTCATTACTTACTTTGCGCACTCAAGTGGCTCCAACCATTTGTAAGTGACATATTCCAATGGCATTTACTTGGCAAAGGGGTAACGTGAGAGATTTGTTGCAGGCAGCGAGTAAGTCAATGAAGCTTTAAAAGTCAGTACGTAGTGAGATGCCAGAACATCTATCTCAAATGAAGCCAAACTCCCATCGCCTGGAACACAGACGCTGAACACAAACAAGGTAAGGGTGCTGTCAGTCCAGCCTCTCTCACCCAGGTGGACATCATGAGTCGACCACAGCACTCTTCCCTGCTAAGCCTGGCTAAGAACTCAGAACCCTCGCACACAACTAAAAATTCAGAGATGGCAGTGCAATGACCTCACCTGAATGCACTCATTTGTATTCCAATTTATGTCAAAACTTTTTCAAACTCTCCCCAACCATGCAGAGGTGAGATTGGGCTCCACTATGAAAATCTCAAAAGATGAAGAGTTTGATGAGTCACTATGCTGTACACCAGAAACTGACACAACATTGTAAATCAACTATATTTCAATAAAAAAATTTTCTAAAAAGGATATTAGGGTTGGGACAATTTTGTAAATAAATTTTTTCAAATGTTTAAGAAGAACAACAACAACAACAAAAAGAAAGTTATTCAGCCTTAAAAAGGAATGAAGTTCTTCAAAAGGTACAAACTTCCAGTTGTAAAATCAATTAAATCCTAAGGAAGTAATATACGACATGATAAATATAATTAACACTGTTGTACATTATATATGGAAATTGTTAAGAGAGTAAATCCTGAGTTCTCATCACAAGGAAAAAAATACTGTTTTTCTAGTTCTTTAATTTGCTATCTACATGAGGTGTATAAGTTTAAGGTGTACAGCATAATGATTCCAGTTACCTACAGCATGAAATGGTTATCACAGTGAGTTTAGTGAATATTCATCACTGCATGGAAATGGGCAGCAGTGATGGTTGCACAACACTGTGAACACACAGTGCCACTGAACTGTACACTTAAAAAGGGTTAAAGTGGTAAATTTATATTATGTGCATTTTACTACAATAAAAATGTTAAAGCAGGTTGGCAGTTATTTCAAGCAGAAGGAAAAAGGTCTGAAGCTAAGAGATTGCCATGCTGGTTGGGAGAGAATGATGGGAGACGTAACCTGCAGGGAAGCCAAACGGCCAAACTCCTGTTGGCCTCAGAAGCCATGGTTAGGAGTTTGGATTTTATTCTAAATGCAGTGGCCATTTCAATGTTTTCAGAAGGGTTTTAAGCAAGGGGAGGCAAGTGTAGAAGTGGATTATTATTAGAAGGGACTATTCAGTACCAGACACACTGCCGGTGAGAATTCCCAGCCCGAAAAGAAGATAAAGCCCCAGAAAGGATGGAAACATACCTGGAAGACAGACATTCCCAGAACCCTCCAACCGCCTACAGTACAACCTGCTGGTCATTGGACTCTTTCACGAGAGGCAAACTATTCAAAGGGAAGCGTACAAATGCCACCTCTTTCAAGAACCACCCCATCTTCCCACCTGAATCCTCTTAGTCTTTCCCCATCTTCTCACATGACACTTAGGAGCTCACCCTTATGTAACAGTTCGTGGTGTGCCCGTCTTTTCTCCCCTCACAGACTCCAGACTTTCCTAGTCACAGGATCTATTTATTAAGTACAACATCAGACCGGGACTCTTAAGATAAATTGATGATAAGGTTAAAGTGATGCCTTCACCTTGCTCCTGGCTTGGCTGAATTTTTTAAAACTCAAGTTCTTTAAGCTGTCCCTTACAACTTGCACATTTTCTAAAAATTAAAATAATAATAACAAAGTAAAAGGAAATGCAAGCTAGAGTTTCTATCTTTTTCAGAGTTGATGGAAACGTGGGATGGACATTTCCATAAATTCCTACCTATTTTGGACGATTTCACCCTCACTCCGAGCATCAACTTCCGAGGCCTGTTCACGTGGGGAACTCGTGTCACAGCTCCCCTGCCAAGGCAGCAGAGCCTCCAGGGACATGGGAATTGGGAGAAGACAAACAGGATCCGCCAACGGTACCTCCTCTGATGGGGAAGTCTGTTACCCGACACTAACGCCACCATCTGTAATGCACAGCTGCTCCTTTCTCGAGTACCAGCTCCTCAGCCTCCAAGTTCACAGTTGGCTAGTGTTTTCAGTGGAATTCCCAATTCCTGTGGCTTTATAACTCTGAGCTAAAAATACAGAGCCGGCTGGCACACGGCCCAGATTCTGGAGCCCGAAAGAAGACTGAGGGATAAATAAGGAGCGTGCACAGCCCTGAGACGCTGGTGGCCATGTGGTGACACGGGGGAGGCACGGGGGGAGGGTGTCAGCAGGCGAAGGGAACGGTTATTACAGGAGGGAAGAAAGAATTGAAGACCTGCTCAGGAACAGTTCTTTGGAGAATATAACAAGCAATCCCCACTAAATTAACTCTCTATATTCTCAGTCCAATAATCCGGACAACTACTGATTTTCAAAGTTAATACAAATCGTCTTATATGGGGTTTCCTATATAAATCTCGAGGGAGTTCTTTGATCTGCATTACGGCATATTTTAATCTAAGTTCTGTATTTTAATTGATCCATTGAAAGATAATGTTAGGATTAAAATGTACTTTTAAGAATTTCTTAACCCCCAGGATGACAATTATCAAAATATGTTTAGAGCCTGAATTGCAAATTAGAATATCTAGCCAATTAACTTAGCCAAGGCCATCACTGAGGTTTCTCAGTTACACAACAAATTCAGTGAAAACTGGTTTTTTTTCTTTTTTCTGAAATGGAAACAACTTTGTTACTTTGTCTAATATGTTTTTAAAAATTCCTTCAATACAGAAAGTATTTAAAATACAAAACTCAGCCAGGATCTCTCCCAGTGGAAATTACCACCGTTAACATTTTGATGTATAGCTTTTTAAACTTTTTCATAAATATTACATGTACATATGGACTTTTTTAAAGTTAACAGCATGTTACACAGTTTGTAACTCAGTAATATACTGTTAATACTTACCTATGTCAATAAATATTCTTTCCGACTTAATTTTATTGGCTACAAAATAGTCCATTTTATGTATATGCTATGATTTATTTAAGCAATTTCCTTATTGTTAGACATTTGAAATTGTTTCCAATATTTCACTATTATAAACAAATGTAACTCAGAAAATAAAAAATGTGAGTGCCTACACCAAAAACTGACACAACATTGTAAATCAACTACATTTCAATTTAAAAAATAAAATAAAGTTTTACAGCCAATAAAAAAAGGTGAGTGCCTTACAGTTCTCTCTATAAAAAATTTAAAAATAAATTTGAAATATATGATTTTTCTACGTGTATGTAAATTACCAAAATGGATACCAAGAAGGATAAGAAACTTAAACAGACCAGTGCCAAACTTTTTTTAAATATCCTAGTGGTGAGGGGGAGGCTATAGCTCAAGTGTTAGAGCACATGTTTAGCATGCAGGAGGTCCTGGGTTCAATCCTCAGTACCTCCTCCAAATAGAAATAAATAAATAAATAACCCTAATTATCCCCCCTTCAAATAATAAATAAATAAATAAATAAATAAATAAATAAATAAATAAATATCCCAAGGGGTCTGCCTCTCCAAAAGTGCCATATCCAGATGGTTTTCTAGGTGAAATCTTTTAAAATGCTATTTATAGTATTCCAGAGAATAGAGAAAGAAGGAAAGGCTTTCACATTTTTGTTCTCAAAATTTAGAATACCAGTGATACTAAAACCAACAAAGATGGTATAGAAGAAGAAACGAGACCAATCTCACTTGTGAATATCAACGCAAGAATTCCAAGTAAAGTCCAGCAAATATAACCCAGATTAAAAGAATAAAACACCAAAGACCCAGAAGAATCCATTCTAGCAATTAGTACTGATCATTATCAGGAAATCTAATCATATAACTGGTTAAAGGGGAAAAAATATATGTGATCACCTTAATACATGGCTAAAAGGTGTGATAAAAATAAACCATTTCTGATTTTTAAGAAAATCCCAGTAAAATGGGAATAAATGAATGCTTCCTTAAGATTATGTACATGTAGTAAAAAACTGGTAAAATAATGAAGGGAGAGAAAGCCAAAAGTAGAAAACACACCTAAAATCCAACATCATCACAAAAACAGAAGCATACCAGAGTGTACCAGGGTGATTAAGCATACAATGTTGGAAATTAGAACTCTAAATCTAAATTTCGGCATGATCACCAGTTGTACAACCTCAAACAAATTACTTAATTTCTCCATGCCTCAGTTTTCTCAATCTGTAAAATGGGGTTATAATAGTACACACTCATAGGGATATTGTAAAGACTGAATGAGTCAATATATATAAATGCTTAGAACAGCACTTGGCACATAGTACTATACCAGTATACATAAGACTATGAGCAGACGTGCGTAACATCAAAAAGGCAAGATCGTGAATGAATAATGAAACTCTAGAACTATTCCCATGAAAGTCAGGACTAAGAGAATATTCAAAGTCAATACTACTATTTAAACTTTTGTTCTGAAAACACTAAGTGGTCAGTCAAGAGAAAAATACTTCTACAAATACAGAAAAATGAAAGATGAATTATTATTGTTGGAGGATGATAAAATATTATTCCTGTAAATACCAAGAGCAGCTACTGAAAACCTATTAGAAACAATAAGAACGTATTGGATTTATTTAATTCATTCACTACCCCAAAAAGAGATTCAGAGAGAAGTATGAAACCAGTCTCAAGATGGTATAAGCTGGGATCCTGGACCTTTGGAAACTCACCTTGGCAGTTTAATTTTGGGGACTCCCATGTGCCCAAGGCTGTGCATCTTGAAACTGTATCTTCTGAGCCACTGAAAAATCCTTCTTTGCAAGCATAATGAGCCTGGTCACCAAGCCTAGAGGTATAATTTCCTATGATATAGCCATCTGGGACCTCAGGAGGGGTGCCACAGTCTATTTCTGAAAATAAATTAATGGCAAGTTCATTACTATGTGAATGTGAATTTTCAAAATTCGTAACCTCTCTCCTCCTCTACCTCATCCCCTCTCCCCACACACATACACACCCAAGCCAAAGTTTAAATAGGCTGGTTCGTTTCCACATGACTTCTGGGCATGTTTCCAGTGACTGTCTCTACTTAATCTTCTCCTTCCACAGGTAATAGCACCTAAACATGCACAAAACTGGAAGAATCTGGCCATCAGCCCTCATTAATTCACACTAACTAAAGAGAAGCCTGGCCCAATGAAGTAAAAAATTTAAACTGCCCATTATCTTCAGATGTATACACCTTTGTAAGTTTCAGGGTCACTTTTGAGACGCTGCTCCTTTCCAGATCAGCTGTGTTTACCACCTAACATAATGGTTAGTATCTGAATACCTATTGACTACTGAAAAAATCCCTGAAGTTACTAGTTTTGGCTTTTTCAGTAGTCCCTTCTAAAATCATGACTGTTGCTTTATTTCAAAGGTTACACATGTGGAAAGGAACAGCTCCCGCCCACACAGCCAACACAGACCCACAGGCTTAGGTTCAGAGCAGGAGAATCTCACCTTCAGATGCTGCATTCTTTGGCAGAAACCCACCTGTGCATGACGTGGCATCTCTGGTCGGGTGGAAAGGCTCAGGCCCGCTCCTTGGCAAGTATCCTTCCATACAGTAGCACTCAAAGCTCCCATGAGTGTTCACGCACCGTCCTCCATGCCTGCACAGGTCGGAAACCTCACACTCATCTATATCTTGAGACCCATCCCAAATGCAAGGGAGAGAAAAACAGAAAAAGGAAAAAAAAAATGGTGGGACATTGTGACAGCCATTTCTCATGTTCTCAGTCTGCACGTATACAAGTGGATGCATCTGTTTGCAATTGTATCATGTTATTTTACTCCTTAAGAGTTCTCCTCATAGATCCCTCACATCGTGGGCACTAACAGGTGCTCGATAAATATTTGACAATGTGTTATGAAAATATTTAGAGACCAACAACCATCACCAACTCTCAATCGCCCAGCAAAGTGAACTCAAAGAACTATGCTAAAAAAATCAATTACTATAAAATAAGGGTGGACTCACCCTCATACTAAAAGATCTGAAGTAGAACTCCTAATAAAAAATTATTCAGACGAGAGTGAAAAATGCTTTCCAGCTTCTACGTGCAGGACAATGAGGCAGGAAGTGAAGAAGATAACTCAGAAGGGTCTCACTAATTTTTAGCAAGATTAGAGGGGCTTAAACCAGCCTTCAAGAAGGACAAGACATGCTCCTTAGCAGACTTTCCCCCTTGACTGAAGATGGTCAGAGATAGCAGGTCCAGGAATAAACATCACATGATTCAGAGGCTGAAGAAGAAATCTCTCTGCCAGTTAGCGGTCTTTTACCCCAGACCTGGCTTAGAGCACAAAACATAAAGTTTTAAGAATTTCATCAGAGTCTCTCTCACACACACACACACACAATTTCACTCAGAGGAAAAAAGGACCTTAAGTGAAATGGGATTTTTTCCCAGGACATCGGCAAGGACCATCAGGGGGACAGAGGACAGGGAGCAGCATGACTGAAGACAGTCTGGTTGCTCCCAGACTCTGGGATTTCAAAGACCAGTAATTTTGGAAGGACTGAAATATGGTGGCCAATATTGTATTTTGCCAGGTAAAGACTCCCCACCCCGCAAAAAAGAACTACTATCATTTCATAAAAGAAAGAACATGTTAACCCCAGAACTCTGCAAAGAAGGAAGAAAATAATCTCAGAATCCTTCTAAATTTTTGTTTGGTGTAATTGTATTAAAATTCACTATATTCTTTATGTTTGTTTGTTGGTTGGTTGGTCTTGGACCGGTGAACCCCTCTTCTCTCACTGATTGCTGTCTGGGAACCAGTAATTCATTCAATTGCTGGAGGAGCCGACACACGTTATCAATTCTGATCAATGTCCATCTTTAGGGCAGCACACTTTGGGGAACTCTGTGGGAGATCGGCTCCAAAGATGGCAGTGGACAATTCTGCCCCTTCCTTTCTTGCAGGCGTCTCCTCCCATCAAGAGTGGAGTCCATTTCCCCTCCCCTTGGGCTGGTCTTGAGACTCACTTTGGCCAAAAGAACTCAGCAGAAGTAACACAGTGCCTGCTCTAGACCGAGCCTAGAAGATGCCTGGCAGCTTCCTTCTGCCTCTGCTGGAACCCAGTGTCCCCTCTCTGAGGAAATCCAGACTCTTGTGCTTGGGAGAGAGGCCCTAAAGATGAGATGACACCTGAAGACAGAGGCCACACTGGGGAGAACTAAGGTGCCCTGGTCACTTCAAGGCCCCAGTGTGAGAGAGGCCTTTTATCTGCCAGCCCAGCCCAACCCAGCCTCGCCCAGCCACCTGCTGAATATATCCACACACACAAAACCACCCAGCCATGGAATTGTGAGGAATAGTAAATTGCTGTTTCAAGTCATTAAATTTGGGGGAGTGGGAGAGGGTGGGAGGAGTAGAGTTATGCAGTAAGAAATAACCAATCTTGACCTGTGAAGAGACGTTGGAGACCAAAGTTAAGAGGATAATGTATCAATGAAAAAGAGGGGGACGTTTCTGAGAAAACAATGAAGTCTTGGAAATTAAAAACAAAATATGAATGCCAAAAATAAAAACTCAATAGAGGCACTGAATAATAGGTTAGTCACTGCTAGAAAATAAACTCGCAAATTCCAACCTGAGGAATTTTCCAAAACACATAGAAAAATAAATTATATATGACAGAAACTATGGGACAGAAAAATGATATGAGAACAGTCCAAAATATTCACTATCTATCTGAGAGGAATTACAGAAGAGTGGAATAAATGTATAAGAATCAATATCAAAAGAAAAAAAAACAACTCAGCTTACATATTCAAATTCAGGTAGCTTTCTGAGGTGACAGGCATGAATGCGGAAAAGTGAAAGTCATTCTGAACTTCATGGAATAAAAGGAAAATCTATAAACCTCCTGAGAGAAAGGAATGGTAATTTAGGAGGAAAAGAGAACCAATCTGACCTAGGACTTCTTGTGTTTCAGACACTTGTGTTTCTACTTGAGCCAGTGAGAAACATCAGAATAAATAATGCCCAGAAAGGGGAAGGCCTCATAAAACACAACAAAGAGTGGTGAGAAGTGAAACCAGTAAAACTTAAACAATTGTTGATAACAGAATCACAGAGGCTTTGGTAACTGGGAAGAAAAGGCTTCTTAAAATAAAAATAATACAAAATAAAATCAATCTCCATCTAGCACAAACTTTAAGAAATGGTAAAATCATTTCTAAATGCATGTATTCCTAGACTGGACTCATCATTTTGGCTTATCAAGATTTTCTTACTCCAAGGAGGAATTTGTAAAAGGTGTTTATGGATATACCTTTGACGCAGAAACCATTTTCCAGCCTGATCACCTGCCCCAGACTCCTCAAAGGAGAGTGAGTGGGAGTAAATGGATTTTTCAGTAGACTGTTCAAAATAAGTGGTACAAGTATTACAGGGCAAACATGCAGCGCTATGGAAAAGACGTGGAGTTTCTAGGTGCTGACTGGCTCTTTATGGGTCACCGTAGTCATCAGTTTGCTTTGCGTACACTCATTCAACAACGTAATGACAATAATTGTTATAATGACTGTTAAATACAACCACTCCTGCATGTCATCCTGCACAAGCCAAACTCTGCTCTAAACATTTCATTATTTATTACTGTTATTTGCACCTTATTTCATCCTCACAGTGGCCCTGCGAGGTTGACGCTACTATTATCCCCATTTTCCAGATGACGTAACTGAAGCATAGAGTGGTTAAGGAACTGGGCTGAAGTCACACAGGTTAAGCAGTGGGAAAGCCAGGATGTGAAGCCAGGTATCTCGCTTCCAAGACCATATTCTTAACCACTAGGCTGCACTGTTTCTCCCTTTACAATCTACGCCTACCGTCACCCAATCAACAGTTCTCTATCTCGTCCAGAGAGATTGTCAAAGATGTCAACTGCCTTAACGAAGTCTACACGTATCTAACACGTATCACTGAGATCAATTAGTATGACCTGACTTTGACTTTTAATCCCTCCTGATGCTCACAAACCATCTCTTTTTTAATCCCGTTTAGGATCTTGGCTGGACAAAACATGAGAAACTCACCAGAACAACTTCTCCAAGTAGCAGTTGATTCCATGGGGGTCTTCAAGGTTATAACATGTTTGCTGGTGAAGAAAAATGTTCTGAGCAAACTTGCTAACATACAACTAATCAAGGGGGAAATGTCCTATGTCCCATTCTTTATACAGGATCATGTAGCTTTATCTGTAGCCAGAACAATTCCTTGCTAGAAAGTAGCAGGACCGAGCAGGACACTCTGACCTGGTCCCCGGGTCCCGATGTTCTATATTTAATCCTTTCAATTAATAGTGTGGATTTGAAAGTCAAATAGACCCAGGTTTGAGAACTGATTCTGCTACTTATTAGTTGTACCAATGTCTGTTCCTTAACCTTTCCAAATCACTTCTGTAAAATGAAGTTAATTATACTAGGCTTTTTGTGGAGATTCAATAAAACATGTGGAAAGCACTCAGCACAGTGCTTGGCTGACCTTTGGTTCTCGATACGTGCTAGCTAACACGTGAATGGGTCTTGCCTCTCTACTGACTCAGTTCTCCCCGAAGCACAAGCCACTCCTGCATGACCCATGCCTGAGCCTGGCCCTGACAGTGAGCAATGAGCATGCACACACATTCAACACACTCTTCCGAGTTCCTGGCTGGAGTCCCGGGAGTGGCCACACGGCTTGTTCCACTCGATTCGAATGCTCTAAGACAGAAGCGAAAAATCCACCTGGAAGGCCCTTAGCTAGAACAGGAATATCAAAGAACAGGAGTATCAAAGAGGTAAGAGTTTAAAAAGAAGCTAGTCTGGGAATACCCCCATTAAACACAAGCCCTTGTCCTAAGACACCTCTAAGATGTGAAGACTCAGAATGGACTCCATGGGAAAAAGGCACTGAGGAACTTTCAAATTCATGACAATGTTCTCACAGCCTACTTTCTTTCTCCACATCGCTCTAAGAACTAGTTCTTTCCAATTCAATGAAGTAAGAGGAGGCAAAAATTACTTCTTCACATCTTGGAAAGTAAAATTATTTTTTCCTGCCACCTTCCCTCCTCAATTGCCAGATTCAGCTAAGAAGCCTACATCTTAAGAAGCCACATTAAAGGAACACAAATACCCATTTAAAATCAGGACTGTTAAATTCATATCATCTACTGATATTATGCAGCGTTGGCAAGGGTATGAAGAAATGAAGACATTCATGAAATGATGAGTGAGAGAATACTGGCATGAACTTTCTGGAAGACAGTCTGGCACTATGTATCAAAATGTAAAATGTGTAGGTAGCCCTTTGACACATAAGTTACTTTCCAGAATTAATAACAGGGGGATAATTCCTTGTAAGGATGTAAGTACCAGGATGTTCATTATAGCATTTCTTATAACGGCCCAAAACAGAAAAATAATCACAAAAAGGAGGAAAAAAAATAATCTGTTTAGTAACAGAGTACAGCCATTTAATGAATTCCATATAGTTAATTTAAAAGGTATTATATATCTATCTCTATATTAATTTACAGATGAGTTATAATATACAAATAATAAAACATACTGATCTTAAGTGCTCAGTAATGAGTTGTGACAATCTCACACAACCGTGTAGCCAACAAGATACAGAACATTTCCATCACCCTAGGAAGTCCCCTCTTTTTCTTTCTAGTCAATCCCCACTAAGCAAATCACTTTTTTATTTCTGTCATTATCAATTAGTTTTGTCCGTGCTTTATATAAATGGACTCTTTCATAAAACACGTGTTTGTGTGTCGCATCTTTTATTCAACATAACGTTTTCAAGATTCCTCCAAGCTGTGCATGTATCAATAGACAGTTCCTTTTCATTGCTAATCAGTATTCCACTGTGAGAATGTATCACAATTTATTTATCCATCCTCCTGCTGATGACATTTTGGGCTGTTTCCAGTTGGGCTATTATGAACATTTGTATACAAGTCTTTTGTAAACATACATTTTCATTTCTCTTGAGTTATATATTTGTTTTTATTGAAATGAAAAGATCATGTGTTGTGAGTGAAATAAATTTTGTCTTCTCTTGTTTCATGGAGTCAGACATGGAGAAAAGAACATCGTATGTTATAGGAATGAAACAGCAGATTATGGAACAACATATACATATTATTAATTTAAAATATTGGTTGCAGGAAATATGCACAGAGGCATCTTAAAAGCAATTTCCCATAATATTGAGTTGTTGCCTCTGAGTTAATATTAGATGATTTTTTTCTTTCTCCTCTATATGTTTCATAATTGCTTGACTTTTCTACAGTAGTATTTTTTTTTTAGTAAATGGGAAAAACAGAGCAATAGTCCTTCCTATGGGGGAAAAAATATTGACTTATTTCTTCTGTTTCCTTTTGGAAAGAGCAATCATGGATCATTACAGTCAGAGGTAAATGATCCATTTACCCTACTCTGTTCCAGAGCTTCATCCTCGGGTAACAGCTCCATCCTTTCTGACACGTAACTTTTGCTAAAGCAGCAGCTGAATAAATGGAGAACCATTTCAAACCACTTTTATGCTCAGAGATGCATTGGTCATGAGCAAAGAGCTTGAACTCAAAGGGCTAAACATTTCCTTCTCAATCTTGCAAATATTCAGAGTTTGCTTAGGAAAGCCTACTTTACACATGGTTCCAAAATCAATGTAAGCCCAGCTCCTGTCCCTGTGACTCCTCCCAAAACTTTACATTAATGGAATGAAAAAGAACCCTGTGTGTATAGTTTACTGCACTCAACAGGGCCTTTGGGAAGAAGCTGGAATACCCACAATCTGGGGCTTGAGCATGTAAGAGGCAAGAGTAAAGTGTGGGAGGTGTTAACTGCAGGGGGAAACCAGGCATGGCCCCATCACTCCCAAAGAGGGACAATGGTGTCTCTGTCGAGGCCTCTGGCATTTGGGGGGATGGAGTTCGGCTTAACCATCTTTTGACCCATAATCTTTGGCCTCTCCTTCCTAGGCGCCCGCCGGTGAAGCTGTCACCCGCCATAGCTGGAGGCCTAAGCAGGCGTCGGAGATTCCACAGGAAAAGTAGGCAAGGAGCCAGGGGTCACGAGCACTGCTCTGGGCAGTAGGGGCAATGTCCCTGCAGTGTGATTCCCCTTGCTTCTCCCTTCTTCCAGAGTGGTAAAGCATGACTTGGGGAATAATTCCAGCTAAAATAAAGGGTTGGGATTTGGGCAGCAAAGTTACGTTTGGAGAGAGCACTGGGAAAAACCTCCGGACAGCTGCAAGCCTTCTGAAGCCCACGGAGAGCGAGCAGAATCTCGGCAGGACTGCGTGTTTGTGTCCCAGGCCACAGCCGGCTGCTCCAGGACCCACGACAGCAGGGCAGGAGCTCGTGGGCAAAGGCTCAGCCGAAGAACAAGCCTCCTGACCCGGGAGAGAGACCGACAGACTACACTGGTCTGGACTGGTAGAGATTTACATCTCGGAATAAAGATGTTTACTTCACTACAGGCAGACCTATGAGATACAGGTTTGGGGCAGCAGGTTCCAGGAACTGAACAGCAAAGCATTTACTCCCTCTGGGTTGTTTTTATTTTTTTCCCCCATTTTCCCCATTTCTGAGCCAAAGCTGAACAGCTGTTGGAAGAAATGGCATCAGGTCCTGATACTGCAGGAAATGAGTTTATGAAAAAGAAGGCTGTTGCTGTCAATAGAGTCAAGATAGATTCGCGAAAGCTGTGGAATTCAAAGGCACAGGAGAACCATTTTGCAATTTTCAGCAGATCCTACTAGGTCCATGCCTGTCTGGATTCATGTTGGGAGGGAGATGACAGCCCCAGGCCTATTTCCACATCAGTCTCATATGTCTCCACTTACTCCTGACCCACTCCAACCAAAAGGCAGGTATGAGGCAAGAGTAAAGTGTGGGAGATGTTCAACTGCAGGGGGAACTCAGGCACGGCCCCATCACTCCCAAAGAGGGACACCTTTGTCAAGGCCTCCGGTATTTTGGAATGCCCTCACACCGAAAGTGCCACAGAGCTTCTTCCTCTCGGTTGTGGCTCATGACAAAGTGTCCATGATCCCCAGGAGTCATTCTGGGGGCATCCTGGGGGCCAGAACATCTGCCAGTTCTCCAGCACAAGAAGCCCTGCAACTCATCCCTCATCTATACACAGTGACACCCGAAGAGGCCTACCTACAAACAGCTCCTGAACTGACTTAATCTGCAAAAAGTACAGTCAACACCAGGTTTCAGGATTTCTCAGAATTCAAGAGCTAGGATTCACAATCTTCTGGTTCCAGGCAAACACTGGATAACTGCTGATACCCCAAAACCTGCTAAGCTTCTCCCAGAGAGAAAGTCCACTGAAGTTTCTGTGGCAGCTGTGATTCTGAAAGATACTCCGTGTCATCAAGAGAAGTCCTCAATCAGCTTTTACAAAGTGATAAATGAGGACCGAAGAAAAGAAAAAGAAAAAGAAAAAAAAGGCCAGGGGAATGAATGTCAATGGAAATGGGGCTTCTTTTTGGGGGTGATGGAGATGTTCTAAAATCAGATAGTGGTGACTACTGTACAACTTTGTGAATTATATTAAAAACCACTGAACTGTACCCTTCAAAAGGGTGAATGTTACGGCATATGAATTACAACTCAATTTTTTTAAAGGGAAAGGTCACTAAATAATTACAGAAACTGGGAAAAATAGAAGCAGAGCCTAGATCAGGATTTTGTTCCAGGAAGATTGGTTCTTCTTGGGCTGACATCTATTTGGCCCTTGCATAAAATCTTTCTTTCTTCTTCTTCTTTCTACCTTTTTAATAACAGAATGCATCCTTAGAAAGTATACTGATATCTACACTTTCAGAAGTTTTTCCTGTCCAACTCCCACAGCCTTAAAAACACAATTTCAGGTATCGCATCCTCCAGAAAATTCCTGATCCCTTAGCCACTTCCAAGGTAAGTGCCCCCACAGATTCTGGATTCCGCTAAGTGCCCTTTGCTTACCTATGACTTACAGTTTATACTGAAATTAGCTGTTCACCATCACCTCCCACTAGCACAGACTTCACACGTAGGAAGCACATGAAAAATATGTATTCAATGAACTGAACACTAGATCACCGTCTTGTAAGGTTTCTTTTAACTGATATCTTTTTTTTAAGGTACCTAATTTAATTCTGCAACATTGCACTTCTGCAATCACGTAGCAAGTAATTTGCTACCTGAAACAACAAGATATTTTAAAATGTCTTCTCTGAGGGAAGGTGTTCATGCCAAGAATAAATGAAATGTACTCTCTGAGGGATTTTTACCTTGGCACAGGTCAAGAGGGAGAATGAATCACAGTAGCAGAACCTGTGGTGAATGAGAAGATAAAACATGCTCCCCTCTCTCTTCCTGTTCCCCACACCCCCACCCAAACCTTTAAATATCACAAAGTATTGAAGGAGAGCCATTAAGTCTATCCAAAGCCATCTTAGAACCAGGAGTCTTTTCCAGCCTTTCCTCTTCATTACTATTCAAAGATTTTCTTAGAAAACCCAAGAGCTATATCATCATGACATGCTGTAGAGTTCAGATAATACAGGAGCCACTGAAAATGAGGAGGCTTTTGCCCCCTCCTTGTGTTTGACCAACATATGCCCAAAATCTGACCTGCGAAGCTCCTGAGGTCCTAAAAGTTGCCCTCCTCACTCGGCTTCCTCCTCTGGGAGATAAGCCCACATCTCTAACAGGTGCAGCTGCTGCATCATCGCGAGACCCACCCCCTCCGCCCCTGGCAGTGTGCACGGAGCTGGCGGGTACCAGAGTCCCTCCAAGGAAACTGCAGATGGCACATCGTCTCTGAGAGCCCCTCCTCGTCATTTGTGGTAAAAATTTTCAAACACACAGAACAAGGAAAAGAATACTAATCTCTTTTAGTCCCACCCTCACCCCCAAGATTCAATAACTGTTCATATTTTGCTGTTTAAAATGCCTTAACAAGGGGGGAGGTTATAGCTCAAGTAGTAGAGCGCATGCTTAGCATACACGAGGTCCTGGGTTCAATCCCCAGTACCTTCTCCAAAATTAAATAAACCTAATTACCTCCTCCTGCCAAAAAATAAATTAATTAAAATGCCTTAACAGATAAAATAACACTGGATACGTATAATAATAACACCCCTAGATATGTCAGAATGTATCTTCCCAGAAGAATATTATCTTAAATACCACAATACAGTTATTCCATCTAACAAAATGAACGATTCCCTGATTTTTTAAAACATTTTTTTGTTTTGTTTTTGTTTGCAGGGGAGGTAATTAGGTTTATTTATTTAAATATTTATTGTAATGGAGGTACTGGGGATTGAACCCAGGACCTCGTGCATGCTAAGCACACACTCTACCACTGAGCTATATCCTCCCCTCAACAATTCCCTAATATTAACTGATCCTCAGTCCCTGTCCAAATCCTCGGAGATCAAGGAGAGTCCCTCCCTTAAATCACACCCTGCCCTGGCCCTCCCCCTCCCTCCTCCACATCCCAGGGACTGTCCCGCCATCACCATGTTGCCATCACGGCAGCCCCTTCCTGAGTACCTGTGCAGAAGGTACCATCGTTGGGGATGAATGTCTTGTTGTTGTTTGTGGCTCGATATCCTTCCAGGCAACTGCAATAAAAGCCTCCCAGAGTGTTGTGGCAAGACGTGTGGTTCCCGCAGACCACAGTGGCTCCCATCTGGCACTCGTTTTTATCTGTTGATACATTGAGACAACGCACAGAAAGAGCTGTCAATCCTCACCACTATCAACCACCCAGACTTCTTCTGTGCCGTGGATTTGGGAATCAATATTCTCAGACAAGTGCTGAAAGATCTGTTTCCCCAGCCCCTTCCCCTTCCTCCATGCCTCTCAGATGACAGGACGCGGGCCCCTCATAGTCATGGGCCAGGTGTGTACGAAACCACAAGAAAAACCCGATGTCTCAATCTGACAGTCCATCTTATTTGAAGACTGGGAGAAGGGGACGCTTTCTGAACTTCTCCACACTGAAACAGACCTTGTCATAGGCCTGGGGAAACAAATCCACCTGAATCCCACTTTTCCAGCCCAGCCATTCTCTTGCATTTCTACGAAAACCAGAGTAGGATGATTTTTACATTCAATGATTAACTGGAAAATTTTGTTACTTCTGAGTTACCGGGAAACACAATGGAATTAGTGCTCAAGCTTCATCCGGGGGCAGGGCTAATGTTGGCAGGAACAGCTCCTGCTGCTCGTCAGCGATGCACACGAATAACATTAGTCACCCGGTGAGGAGGAGCTGGAACATGGGATGCTTGATGAGTCCACAGACCTTGCCCGGAGTATTTTCAATTCAATAACTTGACATCGATGTAAAGCAAAAGTAAATCTCCCTCCTGTCTCTGTCCTCTAGCCCGGGGTCAGCAGACCTTTCCTATCAAAGGCCAGTCACAGACTCTGGATGCAACTGATCACTCGAATTTTCCCAGCACGAAGGCAGCCAGACAATAGGTAAACAAATGAGGGATGCTGTGTTCTAATAAGACTCTATTTATAAAAACAGGCAGTCTGAAGTTTGGCCCCCAGGCTAGAGTTTGCTGAGTGTGCCCAGCCTCTACCATCGGAGGAAACTCCAATGTGACTGGTTTCTTACACATTCTTTGAGAGCTGATGGATCCAGCTCGTTTTTTGGCGGAGGGACTCATCAGCTTATGAACCAGAGTTTTCCCGTCTGTTATGTAGTGTTTCTGTGACACAACTGGTTCCCTCAAAGCAGTTCACCTGCCTCCCACAACTGCACTCAATTCCTGCTAACTCAAAAGTGCTCCCCCACTCCCAAATCTGGTGTTTCTTTTAAAAATTTTTTTTAAATTGTCTTTCTGAAATTTTAATTAAACTTGGAACACAATTTATCATTGAAACCATCTGAGTAGGATCTGTGTGAGAGCTTACAGAGGCAGAACAGGCCTTCAAGCCACAGCCAGGCCAAGTATTCAGTCCAGCTTCCTGGGAAAGGCATGGGGGTCTCAGACACGAGTCCACCTGCCCATACGATAGGATATTCCTGTCCTTTGCCATCGTTCCTGAGGCATGTCTCCCCTGCCGTCTTCATCAGAAGGGACATCTGGGTTTGTAGGGGATTCTAGAATCCTTAGGTCCCTTGACTTAATACCATGATAGCACCCCTGGCACAGGTATGACCTCATCTGTAACCTCTGGTCTCAGCAGGCCACCTACTAGGGTGTCTAGAGCTTGAGAGCAAGTACCACCCGAATTAATAAAGCCCTCTCTAGCCATTAAGAGAAGTTTCTATTGCTCAGGAGTCAAAGAACAATCAAGACTGCAGCAAGGTTTCACAGGAGGAGGACTTCTTTAGGCGAGGGAGCAGAAAAGGCTTGTCCGTGCTCCCCAGTTCCAACTTCATTTCCAAGGCCCTGCTAGCAAGCGGTGGGGGGAGAATCTGATGGGCAGAATCCTCAAGAGAGAGGGTCAGAAAGGCACAGCTCCTGCCTGCAGGAACAGGCAATGGCATGTGATTGTGAAAACCTGTATCTGTGAAGTAGAATGTGACTTTTCAAACTCAGGGCTTAATTGCTGTTTTTCCTTAGGGAGAAAAAAAATCAAAGATACCACAACAAGTATAGTAAATACTGTTGATCCACAGCTTCAAGGCAAAATGATCCATATTTTTACAGCAGGGAACAAGGCTGCTGGGAAGAAACTGTGGTTATCCTAACATTCACTATTATAAAGTTGCTATGAAACTCTCTCTTTCTCTGAATTGGGCTTGAACCTGGATGTTGTCTGACTCTCACGGCACGGTGGATGCCATGAGGCAAAAAATAATGCTTCTAGCCTAAAGTTCTTTGTATTTCCGTAAGTCACCCAAGACCCTAAAGGGTCACAACTACAAAAAAATTTTGAGGATGGATTCTGGTAGACATAAGAGTCAGAGGAACAGTATTTCACCAATTAGCCCCAAAGTTCAATAGGCAATTATGTTTTTATTTTTCCTCATGGTACTAACATAGTTTTATATCAAAACAACCAGAGAAATTAAAAAATGAAATACTCGAGTTGTTAAGTTAAACTCAAGACTTGAAACAGATTTCAAATCTGTATTAGGTCAGTTTCCAGAGATGCAAGTTCAATGGCCTCTAATATGATAGCAAACACTAGAGAAAGGATATAACCAAACACTAAAACAAAGACTTATTACAGTTGACAAAACTTCTTGTAATAAAAACATGTGAACAGAATAACCATGTTTTCCTCCTCTCAAGGACGTCAACTCTTTAACACTAGAGAATCTTGTTTCTTGATTCAATGTTTCAGCTTAACCCAGGATCCAGGACTTACCAATACAATGAGTCCTCCCATTGCCCACAAATCCGTAGTTGCAAATACACATCTTCTTCCCTCCTCTTTCATGGCAGGTGGCATATTCATGGCAAGTGACACAGACATCTAAATTTCAATTATAAATCACATATATCAGGAAAAGAATATTTCGATCACCTACTCAAGATGAGTCACATTTGGGATTGTAGACATTCACAATGGAGAACCAAACTTTGAATACTAAAATTATAAAGGGTAGACCTTATCCCATCCTTAGAAACCTGCAATCAAACAAGTGTATATTTCCCCAGGCCAATGGACAGTGTTCCTTAAAAAAAAAAAAAAACAGAAAAATGTTCACTACTCTGTGGATTAAATTATAACATGCATTTCAAAATACTTTACTTTCCCAAAAAGAAGAATTCAACAACTGTCTTTATAATGGTATCTATAACAAGTCACATTAATTTTTTCAAAGTGTAAGTGCTTCCTTTCCTTTTTCCCATTTGAAACTGCATGTACTTTGTTTAATTATAAATAGGAGATATGAACCAAAGCAAGACAGACAGACACCTGCATGCAGTCACTTAACAGATATTCATGTTGTAGTCCCTCCGCATGTTTAAAAATTGTATCATGAACTCAGGACATACTCATCATAAAATAAATTCTGGAAGCTTTCCCAAGGTATCTGTCTATAAATAAATGTATTATTTTTAAATGTGAAAAGAAAAAAGAAACCTGCGGTGGCTACTCACTGCCCATGGAGCAAAGCCCAAATTCTCTACCTGGCAATCAGTGCTCTTAAGAGTCTGCTTCTAGACTAACTTCTGCAGCCTCATGGCTCCCAAACCCAAATACACACAGTGTTCTCCAGGCAAGATGCCGACTACTCTTTCCCATACATGTTATCCATTGTCCTATTCATGCCATGCTAACGAGGCTCCCTTCATCCACGATGCCTATCCTTCCTTCTCTGTCCAACCAGCAACTATTGCTATTTCAAGACCCAGTTTAAACATCAGTCTCCCTGAGGTCTTCCCCATTCCTCCATTCTTGAGGAAAATTAAATGTATCTTCCTCTGTGCTCCCCTAACCC